TATAGATATTCTTTTTTATGGTACCATCAATAAACTGTTAAATCTTTTCTGTTTTTATAGAGACAAGGTCTCACTCTGTTGTCCAGGCTAGAGTGCAATGGCATCATCATAGCTTGCTGCAGCCTCAAAGTCTGAGGCTCAAGCGATCCTCCTGCCTCAGCCTCCCAGGTAGCTGGGACTACAGGCACACGCCACCACACCTGGCTAATTTTTTTATTTTTTGTAGAGATGGGGTTCCACTATGTTATCCAGGTTTGTCTTGAACTCCTGGCCTCAAGTGATGCTCCCACCTCAGCCTCCCAAAGTGCTGGGATTACAGGCATGAGCCACCACACCCAGCCTACCCTTGCACTTTTAAAAGATATTTTTGTAGAAAATATTTAGTAAAATTAAATTCTTGAATTTATGTTATGGCAGAGAAGGTTGGTTTGCTCTATTTCAGAAGGATTTTAAAAATTTTCTTCTAGGAGCAATTTAAAGGACCAGAGGTAGTAATTGGAAAGAGAAGATAACTTCATGAGAACTTAAAAATTTCAAACGTTGTGCATTTTGAATTTGTTAATAGTCCCGTCTATGTCAATTTAAGTGTAAATATAAATGGTTCAGAATATCTATTTGTTTGTTTTTAAGTTAAAAGAAAAGAGAAACTCCCTAGAGTTGTGGTAAGATTTGAGATTCTTTTAAAGCAGAGAACCCTAAATGATCCATGAAGAACATTGAGTTTTGAATAGAAACAGAGGAACAGAAAAAGGAAGTTTAAATGGAGAAAATGAAAAGACTGTATGTTTGGATTCAGTAATAAAATAGACTTGAGTGACTAGTGGAAAGATAGCTTTCCTGCACGCATTTTATTGGCCTGAAGTATGACTCCGTTTTATTGAATGTACTCATTGAATCAGTGGTGACACGGGAATTATATGTAAAAAAAAAATTTTTAAAACAGGAGCAAATGTTTCCATTGAACATTATAGCTAGTAATGCAAATGTTTTCAGACGTAACAATGAGTTTGTAAACTAAAGAAAGTAAAAAGTTGCTAAAAAAAGTCCATGTTAAGAATTCAGTATTAGATGTCCTCAGGATTAACGAAAGCCATTAATATATGTGAGTAAAAGTAATGTTATAGCTAAAGAGCATGTTTGGGGACATGACAAGACCCTAGAGACAGAATTAAATGGATATGAAGTCAGACTCTGTGTATATTCAAGAACTCTATTGAGATAAAATGATAGTATAATTGAATTTTTATACAAATATTCACTGATGATCTGCTGTGTTTTGTACACTATTCCAGAATTTGGAATATTAGTAACTACCATTCTGGGTAATAATGGTGTATTAAAGTACAACCAAACTCCTGTAACTAAGAGACCCCAATAAACAGCAACTTAAAAAATATAAACATTGACTGCTCACATGACAGTTCCAAGATGAGTGAATGGTCCAGGTCTGCCAGGCAACTCTGCTTCCAATGGCCCTTCAGGGACAAAGTTTCTAGAAAGTCATTGCATCACCATCTTCTAGGTCAGGGGTTGGCAAATATTTTCTGTAAAGGCCCAAAAGTAAGTATTTTAGACTTTGTGGGCCATATAGTTGCTGTCATAACTACTCATTTTTGCTGTTGTAGCCCCAAAGCAGCTATAGACAATGTATCAATGAATGGGTGTGGCTGTGTGCCAATAAAACTTAAGGGACACTGAAATTTGAATTTCATCTAATTTTTACGTATCATAAAGTATTATTATTATTTTGATTTCGATTTTTTTCGACCATTTAAAAATATAAAATCTGTTCTTAGCTTTTGGCAAGAGGCCTGGATTTGACCTGAGGGCTGTAATTTTCTGACCCCTGCCCTAGGGCTTTGTCCGCTATGTAGAGCTGAGTGCTACCCAGTTGGAAAGTAGTGGTGGAAAGAGAAGAGGCTTGTGAGAGATACATCTACTTCCTTAAGACACTGGTCTTGTCACAGCAAATGTGATTTTTACTTTCATTTGATTTGTGAGAACTGAGTTACTTGGTCCCACCTAGTGATAAATGAGCCTACACAAACCTAATGTCCTCAGGTAGCCATGTGCTTGGCTACAAGCTTAATATTGTGAAAGAAGGGTACAGATTTTGATGGACAACTTTCAGTCTCTGCCTCAGATGACTGGTTCTTTCTCCTGTTGTGTTTCCTGTTAGATGTACGTATCCCTGTACCCCAAACCAGGAAAAAAAATTGAATCAAAGAAATCCATTTTATTATTTGGCCAAGTCAAGATGACTGAGGTTATAATAGTTTTACTATAAACATAAATAAATTCGTATTTAGGGCACAGGGGATAATAGGGAAAAGAGAAATCAGGGAGATTAGTAAGGTTTTACAGATGAAGGATAATAAGAATCTAGATTCAGAAATACTTCTTTTAAGCCATTTGTCACTTTGTTCTTTTGTCACCTTGCTTCATGATGTAGATCTACCACATTTGCTTGGGTTGGAATCTCTTATTTCCCTAATTACTAAACATTTGATTTGGGCAAATTGCTAAACTCTTCTGCAGCTCAGTTTCCTCATCTGTAAAATAGGGACAATAATAATAGGAAAGGGTTGTGATAAAGTTTACATGAATTAATATAGAACTTACAATAACACATCTAAATGCTAATCTTTATCGCATGGTAAATGTAATGTAAGTATTAATTATATTACTATATATTATTAATTATATATTATATGTTAATAGATTATTAAACCTATATATTTATGTATGTTTTACATGTTTATGTATATTTGTTGTATTTATATACTGCTTCTCCCATTTCTTTGTGTTTGCCCTGAATCAACTCTATTATCAATCCTTCTATTTCTTGTTAATTGATAATTTATGTCAGTTTTCTCTTTTCTTTCCTTTTTAGATGGGGATATTGGTTTTGCACTTTCACAACAAGGAATGTCTGAAGAAGTTTCTTTCCAGTCTGAGAGAATTAATCTCTTCACAAGAGAAGACCCATATTCCATTTTAGAAGAACTGCTGAAAGATAGTAAACACACAAGAAGATATGAGGAAAACCAGAACAAACCTTTAAGTCATGTTGCCTTCATCAACAAGGAAACAGTAGCTAATGAGAAGGGCTGTAAATATAAGGACATTGGAAAAATAGTTCATGTAAACACACACCTTGTTCCTTCAAGAAAAAGACTCCGTAATGATGACTCATTTGGAAAGAACTTGGAGCCTATTGTAAGCTTATATAATTATAATAGGAACAATGCAACAGAAAATCTTGATGAGATTGTCAGATATGGTGATATTTTTACTCACATGAATTCTCATACAGAAGTGAATGATTGTGAATATAATCAATGTGGGAAATTTCTGAGTCATAAGCAAGCTCTTATTCAACATCAGAAAGTTCATACTGAGGAGAATCTCTATTTGTTTTCTGACTGTGTAAAAGCTTTCTCCAAGAAGTCACACCTCTTTGCACAGCAGAGTATTTTCACTGAAGAAAAACAGTGTGAATGCAGCAAATGTGAGGCAGTCTTCACTCAGAAGCCCCAACTTGCTGCACATCAGAGGGTTTATGCAAGGGGGAAGCCCTGTATATTCACTGAATATGGGAAGGATTTTCCCTTCAAGTCAAACCATCAGAAAACTCACAATGAGGAGAATTACTATAAATGCAGTGAATATGAAAGAACCTTTGCCCAGAAGTCAGATCTGTTCAGATGCCAGAGAATTCATACTGGAAGAAAACCTTATGAATACAGCGAATGTGGGAAAAACTTCCCTCAAAATTCAGAACTCAGTACACATAAAAAACATCATACTGGAGGGAAACACTTTGAATGTACTGAATGTGGAAAAGCTTTCACAAGAAAATCAACACTAAGTATGCATCAGAAAATTCATACAGGAGAAAAACCCTATGTATGTACCGAATGTGGGAAGGCCTTTATCCGGAAGTCACATTTTATTACACATGAAAGAATTCATACTGGAGAGAAACCGTATGAATGCAGTGACTGTGGGAAATCCTTTATTAAAAAGTCACAACTCCATGTGCATCAGCGAATTCACACAGGAGAGAATCCCTTTATATGTTCAGAATGTGGGAAAGTCTTCACTCACAAGACAAATCTCATTATACACCAGAAAATTCATACTGGAGAAAGACCCTATGTGTGTACTGAATGTGGGAAGGCCTTTACTGACAGGTCAAATCTCATCAAGCACCAAAAAATTCATACTGGAGAGAAACCCTATAAATGCAATGACTGTGGAAAATCATTCATCTGGAAGTCACGGCTCAGGATACATCAGAAATGTCATACTGGAGAGAGACATTATGAATGCAGTGAATGTGGGAAAGCATTCATTCAGAAGTCAACACTAAGTATGCACCAGAGAATTCATAGAGGAGAAAAGCCCTATGTTTGCACTGAATGTGGGAAGGCCTTCTTCCACAAATCACATTTTATTACACATGAGAGAATTCATACTGGAGAGAAACCCTATGAATGCAGTGATTGTGGGAAATCCTTCACTAAGAAATCACAACTCCATGTACATCAGCAAATTCACACAGGAGAGAAACCCTATAGATGTGCTGAATGTGGAAAGGCTTTCACTGACAGATCAAATCTCTTCACACACCAGAAAATTCACACTGGAGAGAAACCCTATAAATGTAGTGACTGTGGAAAAGCCTTCACTCGGAAGTCAGGCCTCCATATACATCAGCAATCCCATACTGGAGAAAGGCATTATGAGTGCAGTGAATGTGGGAAAGCCTTTGCAAGAAAATCAACGCTAATTATGCATCAGAGAATTCATACAGGAGAGAAGCCCTATATCTGTACTGAATGTGGGAAGTCCTTCATCCAGAAGTCACACTTAAATAGACACAGAAGAATTCACACTGGAGAGAAACCCTATGAATGCAGTGACTGTGGGAAGTCTTTCATTAAGAAGTCACAACTCCATGAGCATCATCGAATTCACACAGGAGAGAAACCATATATATGTGTTGAGTGTGGAAAGGCCTTCACCATCAGATCAAATCTTATTAAACACGAGAAAGTTCATACTAAACAGAAACCCTATAAATGCAGTGACTTTGGGAAAACCTTAAACTGGAAGCCACAACTCAGTATACAACAGAAATCGGACACTGGAGAAGTAGAGTGCCCAATGCCACAGTTATGGTGTGGGGAAGGTGACCAAGGCCAACTTTCTTCTATCTAGTCAGAACCATGAGTATCTGGATCACATAGCTGATGTCCGGTGCTTATATATATATATATATATATATATATATATGAGATACTTTGACGAAAGTGTTTAAGCAATGTGTAGGGGTCATGCTTGGTTACTTGGCAGATACTGGGATAGTTAAACCCCTGCAAATAATAGTAATTGTGCAAGGAGATGACTTGCAGTCTTTCTTGTTTCACTTTTTGGTTAAGCGGCTATATAAATTTAGGGCTGTCAGGTTTTTCATGCCCTGGATAGCAAAACTGTTCAGTGTTGACCAAAATAATTTCATAATAAGTAGAGTGTTGAGAAAATTGTACATTGTCTAAGCAACCTGAAGACACTGAAAGCAAGGGAAAAGGTAGGAAAATCTGATGTATAATGTAAAGAAACCAGGAGTTTTTGTGAAAATTAACACTAAAGATACAAAGGACTCTCTGTTTTTCTTTTCATTGGAAAGCCACCTTATTTATTGTTTATAGTATTTATTGGTTATCAATAAATGTATTGGTTATATGCTGTTGCAGCAGGTACCTAAGAGGTCTGAAATTACTCCCCAGCTTGTATCCCAAAAGTGATTAATGATGTATGCGACAGTCCCATAACTACCTGTCACCCAAGAACTGGCCCTAAGATCATGGAACTTAGCCACAGGATCCCAGATCTAAATAACAACATTTTGGGTCCTCAGCTTCATCCACAGAAACCTGGACTTTTTTTTCTTTTTTACTGATTCATGTTTGAAAAGGGGAAAAAATTTAAGAAAATAGGTTTCAAAACCTGTAGTTCTTTCCTTCCAATTTCATTAGTACATTCTCTACATATTCATTACATGCTAGATTACCATAGACACAATTGTCTTGCATTTTAGTTTGAATTCTTAGAAGATAAACATAGTTAAACACTTGGAAGAGTACTCATATCCCCTCCCAATCTCTACAAATTTATCTTATTTAATTATGTTTCTCAAATCTGCTATATTCTAGTAGACTTTTTTGGCTTTTATTCTATCAGATACTGAAAGAAGTGTTATAATTTTACAGAATAATTGTGAATTTGTCTCCTTTAGAGCTACTGTTTTTGCTTTACACATTTCGAGTCTTTGATTTTTATATACATTCACATTTAGAATTGTGATATTCTCCTGGTTAATTGAAACTTTATCATTATGAAATGCCTCTTTTTATCTCTAGTAATTCTTTTTGCCTTAAAATTTACCATATCAGATTTTAATACTATATGCAAACTTTACTTATTAAAGGCTAATATAAATTAGTACACCACTTGTGGACAAAGAGGGGAGTTTTAACATTAATTCCATTTATTCTCTTGACTTGCATGGCATTGATGTTATGCATTTTAATTCTGTATATAGTTGACAAAGCCAATTATTGTTTCAGGGTCAATATTCATTTAAATTAACCCACATATTTATCCTTTTTATTACTTTTTTATTCCATCCTGTCCTTTGTTTCCCTGCAGAATCATTGTTCTTCTAACTGAAGAACACCTTTGAGTATTTCTTTAAGTATGAGTTTGCTGGTAACAAATTCTGTTTTTATTCATTGGAAATGTCTTTAATTTGCCTTTATTTTTGAAGGATACTTTTACTGAGTATAGAATTCTAAGTTGGTAGTTACTTTCTATCAGTATTTTGAAGATACTTAATTATGGTCTACATTTCATTTTTTTGTTGAAAAGTATGTCAAAATAATTACCTTTGAAGGTAATCTGCTTTTATTTTTCTCTCTCTCTTGCCTTTAAAATTTATCTCTTTGTTTATTCCTTTCAACAGTTGCATAATGATATGCCTAGGTGTGATTTTCTATGTATTTATTCTGCTTAGGGTGTACAGTGTTTTTTTAATCTATGACTTATGGTTGGTGTGTGTATGTGCGTGCACATGTGTATTTGCACACACATCTTGGGAAATTCCTAGCTATAATCTATTCAAATTATGCATCTGCTTCATTCTCTTTTTCTGTTTTTTTAGGGATATCCCTATTACCTAGATCCCCTATTGGCCTGTGTCTATTGGGTATTGTTTTTCTTGGGTTTTGGTGATATCTTCTCATATATCTGGTGATTTTTAAATCAACTACCAAACACTATATATTAAAATTGTAGAGATAAGATGGTCTGGATAATTTCTTCCAGAGAAGATTTGCCTTTGCTTCTAATAGGTGACTAGGCTTGGAACACTAACAATTCCTGATTTCCTTTATCCAGTCATGTATTGAGCTTATTTGAAACTGGGCTTCAGTCTCTGTGAAGGCTTGTCTATTTTTTTTTCACCCTTATTCCTAGGGGATACCTTTAGGACTTAGGACTTTGGTAGGACCTGAATTGTAGTATTTGTCCCTTCGGTCACATGAATTTGTGAAAAATTTTCTGCAGCCTCTCTTGCCCAGTATTTGCCTTAAAAATTAGCAAACAACTCTTAGTAATAAACCAGTCACAAATTCCAGAGATTTTGTCTTGTCTTTAATGTATTTTTGTAATTTCTCACTGTCTTGGTAGTTCTGTGCCTTCAAAAAATTAAATGTGTTTAATATTTTCTTTCACTAATTTTTTTTTAGTTCTCAAAAGTACTAGTGTGTATCACCTACTCTGCCATTGGCAGAAGTTTTTGATTCATTGAGATGACTACCCCTATTTAAGGAGTCTGCTGTCCAGTAATGTATTTTTTAAATGACCAAAATTACTGACTTAAAAATGAAAATGCTTTCATTTGCAACTTTATCATCATCTTTTGTTGCTAAAAGTCTTAAGGCATTGCTCTTTTGTTAAAGACTTTACAAATTTTGATACATAAGAGAAAATTTCCTCTAGTGTTGTCAAATTTTATTATGATAGCTGCCAAACTTTAGCAAAAGGAGAGATTGACTGAAAGCTTCTCAGATGTCTTCTTTAATACTGTGGTTTTTCCTTTGGATAATTAATAGAAAATGAGATTAATGAAGAGTGGTCCAGGCTGGGCGTGGTGGCTCACACCTATAATCCTAGCACTCTGGGAGGCCGAGGCGGGAGGATCTCTTGAGGTTAGGAGTTGGAGACCAATCTGAGCAAGAGCAAGACTCCCGTCTCTACAAAAAATAGAAAAAATTACCTGGGTGTGGTGGCATGCACCTTTGTCCCAGCTACTCGGGAGGCTGAGGCAGGAGGACCACTTGAGCCCAGGAGTTTGAGGTTGCTGTGAGTAGGCTGATACCACGGCACTCTAGCCTGGGCAACAGAGCACGACTCTGTCTCAAAAAATAAAAAGAAGAAAAAGAAGACTGATCTCAGAGCTCTGGGTTTGAAAAATTAATTTAGTAGGATTACTAAATCTTTTTATTCTCAGATACATTTTTAAAAATAGAATTCTACACTCCCAAGACCAAAAAAAAAAAGGACAAAAGAGCAATTTTACCTTTTGTCAATATAGTATTAATCTTTATGGGAAAGGAAGACTTTCTTTTGAGGATTTCCTTGCATCTCAAGAGGCACTTGGAATTGGTTGAGGAAGGAATGATGGCAAACTATGAGTGGAATGGGAGAGATAAATCTTAAGTAGAACTCCAAGGTCAGTATAGACTGAAAGTATGTGGGGTATAGACTTTACTGGGGAAAGTAGTGTGGGTTAGCCACATCTTTTTATGCCAGCATTCTATTATAGTTCATCTATATTTACAGAAAACTATTATAAAACAGTCTTACAATTTAAATTTTTTAATAAAAATGCATTTTAAATTAATTTTTCAAGAGGAAATCACTGTGAATTCAGAAAAATCTAAGAAAATGTTCATTCAAACCAACATTCAATTATACATCAGATAATTTATAGAGGAGAGTAATGTTCTGTACTGAATATGGGTAGGATTTTCTTCATAATTCATACTTTATTACATATTAGAGAAATCATGATGGAGAGAAACATTTTATGATTACAGTAACTACAGGAAATCTTCCACTGAAAAGTCAATGACCTGAACATTAGCAAATTTACATATAAAGAAAAAATAACAGTTCAAATCTCATTACACATCAGAAACTCAATTTGGAGAAAAACCTACAAAAGCAGTGACTGGAAACCCTTCACTTGGAATTTATTAGAAAATTTCTACTAGACGCACTTAACATGGGAATGGCTTCACACAGAAATCAGTTTTCAGTATTTATACATGAGTGAAATTATATCTTTTCTGAAAGTGAGAAAGTCCTTTTTTTTGCATTAAAGAATAGAAATATATTTTTTCACCATTCTGGAGGTTAGAAGTCCAAGATCAAGGTGTCAGCAAGGTTGGTTTCTTAGGAGGCCTGTCTCCTTGGCTTGTAGATTGCCATCTGCTGCTTGTGTCTTTGGTGGTCTTCTCTCTGTCATGAGAAAGTCTTTGCACAGAAATCAGAACCATTTGTAAATTACTCATACTGCAGAGAAGCCCTATGCTTATTGTGCATTATATATTATATATTGTATATGGAAAAATCTTTGTCCATGAGTCATACCTTACTGTATATCAGATAAATAATTGAGAAGAGTAGGTATTCTAAAGGTACATCATTTTCTTAAATGCCATAATATTCATATAGTATAGAAACTGTATGTTTGATACATTGGAAAAAGTCTTCCCATAGAAGCAAATTCCATAAGAAATAGAATTCGTTTTGTTTATTGATTTAATTTCAGGCCCATGTCTAGAACTAGAGGGGACAAATAGACTAGTCCAATACTTGCCTTTCTTTTAATTAAAAAAATATATATATTTAAACACACACACATGCACACACATAAAACTTTGTATAAATATGATTTTTATAATGTGTTTTATGTCTTCTTGATTTCTGTACTTTCACTCGTAGCAACTCCAGCCACACTAACAGTCTGTCAACAGATAATGCTAATCAACTTTATATTTTTCTCTATAATCATATCACATACAGACACATATGTTATCTGTACACACATATATTAGTGTGTGTTTTCATTGTCTTATATAAATGGGATCACATACACATTTTTGCATCTTTTACACTTTTTTTTTTTTT